AGATGACAATTTAGTAGCAATACCAACAAAACTGGGGTGGACACTACAAGGCCCAGTTCAAGGAGTATGTAGTACAACTGTGAGCTCAAACTTTGTTTCATCATTACAGACAGATTCACTGGAATTTTTGTGGAATATAGAGATGTTAGGTATTAAAGATTCATATGAAAAACAAGAGAAAAACGAGATACTAAACACTTTTAACAAATGTATTTCAGTAAACGAAGAAGGCAGATATGAAATAGGCCTAATGTGGAAAGACAACTCCGATTTAGACTCTAACTATGATCAAGCATACCGAAGACTCATGTCTACGACTAAGAAGTTAGAGAATACAAATATTATAAAGGAGTACGGTGAAGTAATAAAAGAATGGCAAAAGGAAGGTATTATAGAAGTAGTGAAAGAGGACAATATTAACGAGGGTCACTACTTACCACATCATGCTGTCATCAAGTGGGACAGGGCCACAACCAAAATAAGGCCAGTATTTGATGCTTCTTGTAAAGGAAAAAATAAAAAGTCCTTGAATGATTGTATCGATAAAGGACCCAACCTTATCGAAGAAATACCTAAACTTTTATTGAACTTTAGATCAGGTGCTTATGGAGTGACAGCAGATATAAAAAAGGCGTTTCTACAAATTTCTATCTCACCACATGACCGAAAGTATTTAAAGTTACTTTGGTGGAAAGAAAATCAAAGAGAAATTGTTACTTACCAACATGCCAGAGTTCCTTTTGGAGTAGCATGCAGCCCATTCTTGTTAGCGGTAACTATATATCATCACTTAGAGAAAGAAAAAAATACTTTCGAAGCCACGGCGAAGAGACTTAGAGATTCGTTTTATGTAGACAACTGCGTCACCAGTTTTGACACTCCTGAAGAAGTTAAAAGTTTCGAAGAGGAAGCAAAAGTATTAATGATGAAAGGGAAATTTGAACTAAGAGCTTGGATGACAAATTCAACCCAAGAAGTAGATCCAGTTTCAGTTTTAGGAGTGCAATGGAACAGATACGCAGACGATTTATGTTGTAATGTAAATATAAAATCTGTACCTGAACGAATAACAAAGAGGGACCTACTGTCTATAACCCAACAGATATTTGACCCGATAGGTTTTCTATCACCTGTTACTCTAGTACCAAAACTTCTTACACAAAAGGCTTGGATGATAAAAACAGGATGGGACGAAGAGATACCTACAGAATTAAAAAGAGAATAC